TGTAGGGGTGGAGTCTAGCCTGTCAATCAGGATATAGCCAATGAGGCCTCTGTGTGGGCGTGGTCTTCTCTTGATTCTGGGAAATCTGATATTTCCTCCTTGGAGGTGAGAGACACTCTCTCTCTCTGCTCACTCCCTGAGAGATTCTCTACTGACAAGATACATGGCGCTATGCTGGTATAACCCGTGCCCTGAGAGCCGGAGAAGCCAGGTGGAGACCCCTGCTAGTGCTCTGAGATGCTTACAACACCACTGGATCCACAAGACTTCCCACCCACTGGCCTGTGATCTTCCTGCATTCAGCATCAACGCCTGTGTTTCGTGAGTCTGAAAAGGACTTTATAGATTGGTATTGGACATATGGGCTAATATCGGACTTATGGACTTGATCTGGACTGGAGGGGATGTTTTCTCAATACTCAATTGCTCTTGTATACAAAGCTTTCTTATACACATATGAGTGTCTCTGTATTTGTTTCTCTAGTCTACCCAGACTAACACAGATAAGTTTGTGCTGAAAGCAGAGTATACCAGAAAGATGTTTACTTGTGTTTTATTGACTATGCCAAGGCTTGTGACTGTGTAGGTCAGAACAAGCTATGGATAGCTTTAAGAATAATGAGAATCCCAGAACACTTCATTGTGCTCATGAAGAACTTGTATATAGATCTAGAGGCAGTCATGTGGACAGACCAGGGAATACCGCATGGTTTAAAATCAGGAAAGGTGTGCGTCAGGGTAGCATCATCCCACCGTAATTGCACCATCTGTATGCTGAGCTGGCTTACATGGAGGAGTGCAGCATCCACTCGATAGGTGACACAACCTTGCTTGCTGATAGAGGACCTGAAGCACTTGCTGACAGAGATCAAGGATTGTAGCCTTCAGTTTGGATTACAACTCAATGTAAAGAAGACCAAAACGCTCACAACTGGACTCATAGGTAACACGCTGATAACTGGGGAAAAGGTTGATGTTGTCGAGGATTTTGTCCCGCTTGGCTCCACCGTCAGTGTTCATGGAAGCAGCCATCAGAAGATCAAGCTGACTTGCATGAGGTAAACCTACTGCACAAACCCTCTTCAGAGTATTGAAGAGCAGGGAGGTTGGGGGGTGTTGGCATATGCCCCGAGATTGGCTGCTGCCTCGCAGACCGATTGCTGCCTTTTGATTTGTCTAGCAGTGCTCCCTACACATCTTTTGTGGATCCGCAGGACTGTCTGGGTCAGGCAGCGCCAGCCTGTCTCAAGCAGGGGCTGAAGGCATGAAACAATGAACCCCTGCCCCTGGTTTTGAGGGCGGCTCCTGAGTTCTCCGGGAGTGCAGGCCAATGAGCAACACTACTCCACAAGGGGCAGAAAGGAGATGATCCAAGACATTGCCTGCTCGCCCGCCCAAGCTGTAGTCCCTGACTCTCGTATCATACACAGCAGCACCGGACTCTGGCTCAGAGCAACTCCACAGGACAGCGTTGAACTACCCCAGAGGGTTTCTAAGGCTGTGAGTCTTTATGGGGGCAGACAGCCTCATCTTTCTCCTGCTGAAGGGTCGGTAGGTTTGAACCACAAAACTTGTCTCTAGCCACCCAACACTTAACCCACAGCACTACCAGCTCTCCCCGCCACGAGGAGCAATTGGAATCTGCTGCTGGACCATGACCACAGTAGCTGCTGGGCTGAGCAGTGAGGTGGGATGCATGGGGGTAGGCAGGTCGAGTTCTGTTAATGTTCTGACAGTTGCTAACCCGGTGAGGAGCGTGTGAGAGCAGGCAGGCCTGTTCTGGGGCCTGGGCCCAGGGCGAGAAGGCAGGAGTGTGTGCCTGAATGTTGGGGTGCTTAGTGTGAAATGCTGGCCAGGTGTCCACGTGGGGGTGCCCCCAGCAGTCGGGGAGACACCAGTGTAGAAGGGAAATCCCAGGGAGAA